AGAGAGAGAGAGAGAGAGAGAGAGAGAGAGAGAGAGAGAGAGAGCGGTAGGACAAGGAATCTACGACGGAAAACAGGTTGCATAGTAAACAAGGGTTTCGACTTTTGTGTCCAGCACGACCCTGAGTGCCCTCTGGCGCTTCTGCTGTGTCCAGCGCGTCGGCGGGTATCTTGATGTCTTGCGGGTGTAGGGCCGCAGTCTCCCGAAAACTACGCACAGTCGGTACAACGTAGTCTTCAAGACGGAGCACCTAGTAACCTGGCGCACCCACAAGATGTTCTCTTGACGCCCATTACTGCTCCGTTGTCTTCCACGTTCGCCGTCGCGTGAATACAGGGATCTCAAGCCCCAGAACCTGCTGGTTAGCCGCGACGGCACCCTCAAGATCGCCGACTTTGGCCTGGCCAGGGCCTTCTGCCCCCCCGTGCGCCCCCTCACACACGAGGTGAGCGTCTTTCGGTCGATCCCGACCCCTCCTCACGCCCGCGGACTGTTGGTTGCCACTGCCGACATCGGAATTTCGCCTGTTTTGGGGCGCTGTCTGTGTTGACTCTTCCTTGTTCTGTGTCTTTCCGTTTGTAGAGGAGCATGAGTTTTTCGCGCCCCTCTTCCACCGCCCCCGCGCAAGCATACCAACCCTGTCCGCGTCGAAATCCCAACAAGAATATCAACATCACTACACACTACATACACGTCCAGTTCTGACTGCTAGCCTTACTCTTTCAACATTACACACCAACGACCCAGTGGGCATTCATGTTTGTTTCTGGTGTGAATCCCGCCTCAAAGCTACCGCAAGTCTGGTACGGCGGTACCTTTTTTTTTCCGGTGCTGCTTTCCATTTGGTGAAAAAACTTTGGACCACTTTTGGGTTCTTGGTTGGCGGGATTTTTTGTTTTGTTCCCCAGGTGGTTACGATCTGGTACCGCGCCCCTGAAATCCTTCTTGGCAGCAAGACCTACGCGCCGCCGCTTGACCTGTGGTCGGTCGGGACCATCCTTGCGGAGATGGTGACGAAGACACCCATGTTCCCGGGTGACTCGGAGATCGACGAGATCTACAAGATATTCCGGTAAAGAGAAAGAGAGAGAGAGAGAGAGAGAGAGAGAGAGAGAGGGAGAGACAGAGAGAGAGAGAGAGAGAGAGAGACAGAGAGACAGAGAGAGAGAGAGAAAGAGAAAGAGAGACAGAGCGTTCTGACCGCCTCCTGTCGTGACGGTTTTGTACCACGCGGATTTTCATGGAATACAGCACAATACCGCGGAAGATCTGCAACATCTTCCGGTAAAACGAGCGCTTGTCTGGCCTTCTGTCCATTTTTATTTCGTAGTTTACCAAGGTATCTTGCGCATTCTTCTACATGTCATTCCGGCAACTTACTCTGGTGAGAGTGACCCGGGCCCCTACAACAAGATGTAATGTCGAAGCTCGAAGCACTATGATCAACAACATCACCCCGCCGCCTGTTTGTCCAGGGTCCTGGGAACACCGACAGAAAGCAGCTGGCCGAACGTCACGGACCTGGACGACTGGAACGTTGGGTTCCCGAAGTGGCCTCGCATCGGCCTCGCCAGGGAGTACGCCGATCTGGGGGAGATCGGCATCAACATGCTCGAGGTGAGCAAAGCACGTCCTTTATTTACGGGGTGGTCACCCGCCTGAACATGACATGCGGTGCCTTCTCTTTAGGGTGCTAAGGACGACACAAATAGCCTGCTTCGTGGGTGTTTTCCTGTGTGTGTTTTTTTGGGGGGTCGGTGGTGTTTGGTTTTTTTGGAGGCCTGTGTTGCCGGCGACTACCAGTGCGGTTTGCGTGGCGGAGACGCGGCGGCGATGGGGGCCTTTTTTTCCGGCTGCCCTTCGTGTGTTTTGTCTGTTCGCGAAACTGGGCAGCCTCAACACGCAAAACGCTGGTGTTGGTTATCGCGTTGTTCGTGTGTGCCGCTGCATCCGTTCGGGTTCGTTGAACCATGTCGGTTTGGACGGCGGCATGTGCATCGCGGTTCGCCGCAGGTTCCCCTCGTCAGCGTCGATCGAAGATCACACCTCACGGCCGCTCTCTTCCCGCTCTCTTCCCGCTCTCTTCCCTCTCTCTTCCTCTCGGTCATGTTGTTGTTGTTGTTGTTGATGTTGTGTGTTCTGGTGATGACGTGGTGCATCACAGCAACTGCTGGCGTACGACCCCAAAGCTAGGCTGTCGGCGAAACGCGCGCTCAAACATCCCTTCTTCGACGACCTGGACAAAGCCTCGCTCATGTGATGGAAACATGGAATTCAACACCCTTGCTCGAATGCGACTAGAGACACCTTCCTTCGCGTGTGCGCGTTTGGAGCACCTCGTGTAACGTTAGGCAAACATTGCGAGTTCGCTCTGGTAATTTGTTGTAGTGACGAGGTTTCTCGTGGGGCGGTTGGACATCAAACATCATCATCAATCGTAAGAATCAAAGGCTAGCTAATAAATACCCCTTTCCTTGGAGGAAGTACAATTTGACTTGATCTGTAGACTAGTGAGGTGCCGTGCGGAATCGTCCGGGAAGTGCGCCGTATCTGTTGCGGTTGGACTCCGCGATTGTATGCAAGAGCGTGGGTTAGCTTGTACGGCACCGCGGGCAGTAATGCTGCAGTACATTCCGCGTGTTAAAATGTCATTTCATGTATGAAAACCTTCCCCTAAATCTCGGCTCTTCTCCTAGCCCCTGTGATTTGGCGGCGGGGGACACGGGAGGGAGAGGGGGTGACGCTGTATGTTTGAGGGCGTACGGGGGGCGCTTGAGCTCGTGGAGAGCAAGAGAGCTAACCCCTGTCGCTGGTGGGCGCGTTGGCACACTGTTTCTAGGTTAAATTAAGAGAAGGAGCTATCGTCTATTTTAGCTTCCACGTCTGGCTGCCCACGTCCTGGTTGTATGGTTGGGCGGATGGAGTGTGTTGGTTCGTCTTGACTCGGAGGTGTTCTGCCTTAATACAATTATCTGTTTGGTCGGGAAAGGTAGCGGTTGCCGTGGGGAATACCGTTGTTGAAGTATCAGCATCATCACGTTCTTGCTGCATGGGGCAAAGGGCCTTGCATCGCACCTTAGTCCCCGTATCAGCAGTAGCTTTGTTCCCGAGACTTGTTTTGTTGTTTCTCCACTGCCTGACGTTTCTTTTTCTCGTCGGAGTATGCATGCGACGAACATTCTCTTGGTTTTGTGGTCGTACCCCCCGTGAGCAATCTGCGCAGGTTAGTCTCGTTGGGAAGCGTATCCTGCTCGCGGGGGCTAGGGGGTGAGTTAAAGCGATGGGTGTGTCCCGTTGGCTAGAGTCGCGAAGTCGGTTTGTGTTCAAGGATACCGGGGGCTTCGTCGAGGACGTCCGCACGTAGGGGGGGGGGACCTGCGCTTTCGAATATGTCGTTTCGTGTTTTCTTGGGCGAGCGTTAAGTCGATTCTCCCTGGATCTACATAGAAAATGAGTAAACAACGTCCAATATTCGCTGCCATGTTGACGCGATTAGTTCTGCTGTGGATGTGGTTCCAAACCTCGTGGTGCGCCGTCCACCTTGCCTTTGCAACGAACGTAATGCCGGTGGACTAGTGCTCCTTGAAAAGGCTGCTCCTGCTGTAGACCATTCGGCCGAACTTGCTCAGATTACACCACCCCGTGCTGATCTAACCAAGGAGAGCATGAGATACGTCAACCCACACGCTTGCCTCTTCGACCCTAACTGTACTCCGAAAACTCGTGCCAGTCAGGTCTGCGTGCAGCGCATCAACCAGCACTCCCGCAGACGACAAACGATTCTATGACGCCGGGGTGAGGATGCGTGCCGAAGGTGCCGTCAATACGATCGTGGCCGGCACGCGCATGCCCCCGCTTTCCGCCACTTCCGGCACGTCCTCGAGCCCGGTGACGAATATCGACTCCCCTGACCCCACCACCGGCAGGGGGGTCTCGCACACGCCCCCTCTCGCCCCACCCGCTCCCCCGCACACGGCCACCTGCCGCGATGGAACGTGCGCGCACGAAATTGCGGCGAGATAAGCGCGGGACTGCTGTGACGGAGTGTTGTGCGTTCAGATTATGCGCAGAGGATACGCACTGGACCGTGGGTGAGGGGTGCTGCGCCGAGGAAGATTTGTAGAACAAGATATGAGAAGTGTCGGTACTCCACAACCAAAAGCTGAAGGCGTTCGCACGCCTGTACCCCTTGGGACAACGGTTACACCTTGGGCACGAGGAACAGAGCACCACCTTTTCGGGCGAGTACCGTAGCTTGCACAAGATACCACTCGTGACCGATTGTCGAAGTCCGACCACTTGACTGCAACGAGGATTCCACAGCCAAATTATAAGCTTTCCAAAAGCTCTCGAGGCTTCCAACGATGCCATTTCCAGCACCCTTGTTCTTGCCTGCGGAAAACTCGAGCTTTGAGTTTCGGTCCAGCGGGTGTTGGAACATTTTGCAACTTGTGGGAGTTTCCCTGTAATTCTCATGTTGTTCCGGAAAAGTGTTCATTTCGAGGAATGCTTCATCTAGCAGGATGCTGTGACCGTCCGTCACCCATGGAACTCCTGAACGTTTGGAGAAAAAAGCCCATTGAATCTTGTCGACAAGAGGATGTCGTGTGGTGCTACAGTCACGCACACCGTCCGTCCGAAGGTGGTTGCCGTGAGGTACCGAAGCCGTGGAGCTTCGCAAAGAAGCAACAATAAATGTCAGCACTCCGTGCCACGGGTTTAGGAAGGAACTACACGCAAAAGACGGAAAGCGATGTGTGCGAGGGAAAAAATTACAAGCTCAGGTTTCTCGCAACCCATCGTCAACAAAACTTTACACGTACATCCTGCGGGTTTCTCCGTGTAAATAAACTTCTTTTCATCGGCGTAACGAAATTACTTGGGTTGTGCTTTAAAGCAAAAAACTATGCTTGAGCCGAAAAACACTGCGCACCTCAACGGAGTATGTGCCTTGCTCCTCAAAATCGCCCGGCCAGCTCGCCCCTCCAACGGCGTTTCTAGGAAACAGCTTGAGAGGGACAAAACGGGAGGGCGGGCGAAGGGGGGGCATCTGCCATTACACATTTCAATAGACGAGTTGTGCAACAGGGTGCTCAGGCGGAACTGTCTTTCAAGTCCTGCAGCATCAGCGGGCGCGCAACAATTCTGAGTTTACACGAACGCGGTGCTCTCTGAGCCAGCCTGCCTTCTGCCGTCATGAGTTTTCCGGTCATATTTATCCAGGCGGTACGGTTTACACACGATGCTTTCCCCGCACACTGTTTCTCCTCCCTCGTAGTACTTTTTCATCGTGTCGTGACCAACATGCAGTAATGGTGATGTCACGAGGTGCTGGACAAAAAGCGGCGGATTCAACAACATCGCAAAAAGATACACGGCATGGTAGGCGTCCCGCACGGAGGAACGATGCCACCCCCTACCGCAGTCCCCTCCATCCGGGCGTGAAGCGGCAACAGACAAGCCGGCAGCCCCCCATTGGCGACGTCACCCATGACCACACCGTTCGCAAAACTGAACTCGGAAAGCCCACGTTCGAGGGGCCCATCGGACAACGTCTGCGACCAATCCTATCATTTCAAGCGCGAGAGGTCTGGTCGTTATGTGCTGCAATGGTTCCTAGCCTGAGGGAAGAAGGATATCGTGGGTACAGGTAGCCTCCGCTGTCGCTGCGGAATCATTGCCAATACCACAATAGTCGGAGAGTTGGCACCGGCCGGAGATATGGCACCGATCGGAGAGATGGCACCGGGGTGTGATAAAAAAAAAGACAAAAAACATTAAATTCGACTGATCACCGGGGTCGGTGAGATCACACCGGGTGCGATCTCTCCGACCCCCAAATCCAAGATTGAGCTCCTTTGCAGCTGCCGGAATGAGGTACATGTGCATACCTTTTACACGTGGGGACGGTGTCAGCGGAGCGCCACTCTTTTACGTACGATTGGATGGTCGCGGTTCACGCGGGATGCCAGTTTTTCATTTTGTCATTGGTATGGAAATTGCCAACCGCACACTCAACCAAACACACAGGTGTAGGCGGGTGTGGGAAGCGTTCCCCGTTCTCCTTTTATTTTATTTTGATCGGTCTCCTCGACGCTCTTTCTCGTTTGGTGCGGTAGCTGGTCTTTCTTTCTATCATTTTGTTTCTCTTCCGAGTGGTTTTTGTACCCTATTATTTTCTGTTTCTTCGTGGGGTCGTGTATGCCGGGTTTTGAGACCACGGGCTCCCAATTTTGTTTTTTAGAGCTAATGTGAGAAACAACAACAACAAACAAACAAACAACGTACAAGCCGCACCGTAACCCACCTTAGACAACCCGAAACTATTGTACTGCGGCGTACGTACTGGTTTCCGTAGAAGAAGACCGAAAAGAAAGCGGGAAATAATTGATACCGTGTGTACTGGTACCACCTCAGAGGGAAACGACATCGTTTGTTGTTATCACGCCATAGCCAAACTCGCATCAATCACAAGACCACTCGCTGCATGGAAAGCTGTTACGTACCAGCCTACGTTGCCGTTACCGTTGTGCTTCCAACCAACAACAACGGTACCTAAACGTGTGGTTGTAAATACACTGATCAATAGCATTGTCAACTACCGATCGTCACAACTCCGTCTACTCTCCTTCCTTCTCCTCATCCCCCGACACGCCTAAGAATTCTAGATCGCTGTCATCGGGGATCGCACCGGTCGGAGAGATCGCACCGGGGTGCCTTGAAAATTCGAAACGAATGCTTGAATTCCATTTTTGCACCGGGGTCGGAGAGATGGCACGGGGGGGGGTGTACTCATAGTCGTGCATGCCGTAGTCGTTAGACCATTGACCTCGCATCCCTACAAAGCCGGGACGGAGCACGCCGGGTTCTCACCGGACCAGGCTCTCACATCACCAAGCGCGAAGCGCCGTGAGATATTCGGCGAGTCGCATGAAGGGTGCGCTGCATCCTGCTAAGGGTTTTCGGCATCTTGTGCTTACTTCCTTGCGTACGGATGACAGCTGCGTATGAATTAATTTATTTTCTGGTGCTTTCACTTCCAGAGACAGTTGTAAGCACTGTGTAACTGCCTCGAGGGTGCTTGACCATTTTAACACAACGTGGTGCGATCATCCCCCTTGCGCGGAGCGAGGGTTCTCCACCCCGCACAACATGATCTACTCGACCACCATTATGGTTACCGCCAAAAAAAAAACGGAGGAAAAAAAAAAAAACGGTAACCTGGTTGCCGAGTTCACGAAGTGAATTGGCTTGTTTTACAACGTCGTTGCCAACCGACGAAAACCCAACCCCGATAGCAAACACCGGGGGGGGCGGCTTGTTTTACAACGTCGTTGCCAAGCGACGAAAACCCAACCCCGATGGCAAACACCGGGGGGGCACGGGGGTGCTCTAAAAAACCCGAGGAAAAAACAATTAAAAAAATAGATCGCACACGGTGCCAACTCTCCGACTACTACGGGTATCTTAGACTCTTTTCAATAGAAAGAGACGAATTCGTTGGGTCATATTAAGAAAAACAAAAAGAAATGATATGTGTTGAAAGCCCACAGCCAGTTATCTCTACTTACCGATAACTCACCTTTAACGGTTGCTATGATGGGCTACGATTCATCGCGGACGTGCGTAACTGTTCGGCGAAACGACGGTTGCCTTTCTCTGCTTAATGTGAATGTTACCTCCAGATTGTCGTCTTGTAGGTTGCGACGTCAGGTGACCTGTTGGCGATCTGCCTTCAGGGTGTTGCCACAGGTATAGGCGGCAATGGACACGCTGAACCCGCGTACGAGTACAGCAGCCAGTTTCCCCCTCGCTCTCACTCATCATGCCTACCCCTACTCTACCTAAAACCGGGTATCGTCCTCCCTCTCTCATGAGAGGCTGAGCCCGGGGTGCACTCCGCACTACGCTCACAAATAGAACATGAGCCAGTTGCGTAGAACCTGACAACAGTCTCATTTCAGCAACGAGAAATTTGGCTTGCAGCGCGGTCTACCTGCATCATGACGGGAAACTTGAGTCGGTCCATCGCCACGCTCGCTCCGAGGGAAGGCTTGCCACCTCTCTCCTTGCTAGCCGTGATGATCATGCTCGCACCGGGAGCTTGACCAGGGTCTGGGAGCAGCCTGGGTGGGTAACGGTGAGGCGGCGGCGGTGTGAGCAAGATGTGCACGTGCAACTGCTGTGTATCCACAGGGTGTGTATGGACATACAGCAGATCTGCTGATACTGTGGAAGCCTTCCGTGTAGCGTACATTCTTCGCTCAGTGCCACCGCGTTCTCAAGAAACAGAAGGCACGCAAGCCCAGCGGGTCTAGGGCCTGGTCTAATATATTCATGGCCAAGATGCAAGCCCGTCGCCGCCTAAGGATTCTGCTACGTATGCAACATGTGCTGAACCTGCAGTCTGCTGCGGTTGTAGAGTCTGAGCCAGGACCGTATGGCGCACTAACAGAAAGCCAAATGCTGGTGTGTGTGCCGCGTCAAAGTGCACTTCAGCAGCATTGCTTGCAGCTGGCCGTAGCAACAGCGTGCTAACTGGGTTGCTACATAGCGGCATCCACGAGAGACGGAGGATACTCCAACGCATGTCTCTGAAGCCGACCGCGGTACTCTCGTTCATGTGTAACATTGTACTCTGCTGTTACTGCTACACACCAACAGTATACCACGCCAAGAACTACACAGCGTCTGCGGCAGCTGACACATGTTGACAGTTCAACGACGGCTTGCCAGGCAATTGGTCGCCCACTCTCATCGTGCGCTCTCACTTTGTCCAGTCAACTTCCTCGTCGGCAAGCTGCACAAGGGCCTCGACAACAGGCTGCTGCGGGCTCGCCGAAGCTGCGGTGGCGTCGAGAGGCGTCGTGACTGATGCACACACCAATACCGAGAGGGCGGCAACAGTAGACGCCACACTCCGCACCCACGTTCTCTTCGTGTGGTTCGGCTCAGTTGCGGTCATTACTGCTGTAGTCGGCGGGTGCCTCTGTGCTCTTGTAGGTCGCCAAGCTGCTGTCATGCGTCGATCGCCTCCTGTTGCCGAGAACGATGAGTATTGTGACCCTGCGGTTAACAAAGAAGATGAGTCACATAAGGCCCAACATGCCCAGCAGAAAATGGTTGCGATAGACCTCTTCATGTTCGGGGTGCTTCTTCTGCTTCTGCTGCTTGGCACTGCTGCTACTGCTGTGGATGGCGCCTACGAAGAGAGGTGAGAGGTGAGAGTCAGCTGGGGAGAGTGCGGCGGGATTTCCAAACGAAATCTACGAAATCTACGGAGAAGAGTCAATTTTACGGCAGCAACAGATATTAATATATGCAACGAATGCGCCAGAGGGGCACTCCGAGGGGAAGAGGAGCGGGTTTTCGACCTTGCTGCCGAGACGTGCACACCCAAGCAGTGGGCCGGGTTGATGCAGCCTTTCCTCGAGCATGCCGCGGGTCGGGGAGATGAGCATCTGACCAGAAAGCTGGTGGAGGCAGGGGCAGAGATCGGGACCGCCGTGCACGCGGCTGTTCGAGGAGGGCATTGTGAGATAATGGAGTTTCTGCTGGAGAGCGGGGCGTCTGCGAGCGCCAGTGATGAAGAGGGCCTCACCCCTCTCCACGTCGCCGCTCAAGCAGACCAAGGGGAGATCGCACGGTTGTTGCTGCTGCGGGGGGTCGACCAAGACTCCTTGAGTTACGAAGGCCGCACGCCGCTAAACTGCGCGGCATGTCTTGGGCATGCTGGTGTGGCGGAGGTTCTCTTGTCTACCGGTGCCGACATCAACCGACGCTTCGGCGATCGCGAGATCTCGGCACTCGATATCGGGGCTGGCGAAGGCCATGTCGACTTTATCAGGACCTTGATCGAACACGGAGCGGACGTCGATGCCACTAATTACGGCGGCGTGGCGGCCCTCCATCACGCCACTGCCAACAACAAGGTGGAGGCGATGGATGTGCTCTTGCGAGCTGGAGCCGATCCCCGATCGATGTCTGGAAGTGGACATACCGTGTTGCATATGGCGGCGATCACGCGGACCCGCACCGAAGCCGCTACCCTTGCTGTCCTGCTAAAGCACGGCGCAGATGTCAACGCCCAGACGGTGCGGGGAACTTCGGTGTTGGAGTACGTTGCGACCAGGGCTGGCAGACAGGGCATGGTGGAGGTGGTCGACCTCCTGCTGAGGTGGGGCGCAGACGAGGCACACGTTGCCGGAAACGGCATGCGAGCCGCTGATGTGATTGGCATGAAGGTGGCAGAGGAGGACCGCATACCCGAAGAAATCGAGGCCGTGCGCAAGCTCTTGGCAAACGCTCCTGCGGACAGGGCATGGCGACGCCGGCGCTCGCTTGTGTTGTGCCGCGCTCAACCCGACAGGGTACAGCTGAGTAGCGACGGGATGGCAAGGTTGGAAGCGAGGGTATTGGGGTTAGTAGAAGAGGGCATTTTTCGCACGATCGTGAGGTTTATTTGAAAGTTGAAAAAAGTATGGTCACTTGCTGCAGGCGCCCGTAAGCACACGGCTTCCATTTATAGCACAGAACACAGATCGCGCGCGTAGCTGTTGTGGAACCCGGCCCGGCATTCTCAGGTTACTTTTTGGTAGCATGTTGGAGCATGCCTTTCGTCCACATCATTGATCTCGATGTATCTACTCCTCCTGGTTCCTTCCTGTAGAGAAGAGCACTAACTGCGAAACGCGTAGCTCGTATCACTTCTGTCCTGCCACCCGTACAGGCCTACCGCGTTATGAGACCAACTTTTTTTCTGCCGGTGTGCTTTTACTTGCAGGTTGGCGTCCTAAGGGACTTTCGTGGTTAAGCATAGGAGTTGTCCACGTAAATCATGCATCCAGTCACGGGGTTTCCTATATCCCTAACCGTGATGTGTACAAGTACATGTTGCCTGTTTTTCTCAAACCCCATAGTCATCAACTCTTGTTACGAAAGGTCTTGGTACATGGAAGGTCTTCCCCACAAATGTAATCAATCTGGGCATAGCAGGGATTTGCCCCACCCATCGGTATTTATCGGCTAGCTGTTTTCCGGCAGAGGGCGTGCGGCATACAAGCGCGTGGGTAGTCTTGCGAACACTGCTGTGCCATACTTGTAGGAAATTCGACGTATGCATATGAACACCATGTTGCTGTTTGAGTCCCAGGACGCTCGCGCAAGCTCTACTGCAGTAGACCGTGCGGACGTTGTGCCTTTTCGGAGTCCATGTCATACCGATACAGAATGACCCGGGTACAAGTGTGGGCATGGTTGCGCACGGCAAACAAGTGTGCGTGGGCACCAAAATGCAGAGATACTACGAGTTGTTGATGGGTTATTGATATTGGGACAACTGGAGATGCGCATGACATGCGAGTCGCGTCGTCAGCGTGCAGTGCTTGCGCCGATACGTTCATTGCGTTGTACCAAAGGTGCTTCCGCTTTTGGTTGTATCGAAGACAGGCGTTGCCATGGTGTAGCACTACCGATGGCCGTCGCGATGCCCTACTGTCAGGTCACCGTCGTTAAGTGACGCTGATCGGTGTGCTGATGTTATGTCCGTCGTCAAGGCCGGAGCAACAAAGCGCTGTCGCAACCTACAGGGCGGTGCCCTGTTGTCCGCTTTCGTGGCAAACCTCAAGAGAATGCCCAAAGCGGCATACCTTGTGCCCTTTCGTGCATTGACGTTCATTTTTCCTCGATAGCGATGCAATTGAACACCGTCTAAGCCTCCCTTGGCAACACATGTGGTCTGCATTGCCATACTTGTGTCAGCTCAAGCCTCAGACGCCTACACCACTTGGGTTATGTTTTCACTCTCCAGTCCGTGACGGCGGCCACCACGACATCCAAATCAACTGCATCACGATACCACTCGAAGAGAAGTCCCAAACATTCAGGACGTTGCGACGTGGTCTCACAGCAAGTGAAGTATAGGGTCAGGCCTCTCATTGAACTACCGTTCGTGCCATTTTTGTTCCCGCCCCATTGACCTTGCCCTTACGTGGAAAAATGGGTCAGGAGGTGTCCCCTTGTTGCCGCAGGTCCTCCAGCTAGCATCTTCTTCGACCACTTTAGGTAACGAGAGGAAGCCTACGTCCATCAAGTGGCGTATTCGCCGTGCCTCCATCGAAACTGGGAATCCCCTTGCCGCGGCCTCTCTTCCTGTAGCGCCGAGTATCGACGACGACAAGCCCGCAAAACTCATACTCCATCAATACCAGTCCTGTGCGTGTGCCTCAATATCCTTTCCCAGCTTGTTGTGGTGTGGTTCTTGGCTGTTCTCCGGACACCTAACTGTAGAGCTGCTTCCCTAAAACTTTCAATGAATCACGTCGAACCTAACTGCTGTGTTGATGAGTGACATTGACAACCGGGACCCCAGGTGTGCCATACTGCTTTTAACGGCAAAACCCCGGCGCGCGGCAAGTGGGGTGGCGAACGAGGGCCAAATCGCTTGGGAAATAAATTTCCCCGTCAAGAACTGTTGAAAAATTGGCCATTGAGGAGTGCGTTTCGCAGAAGGCATGTCAACAACGATCGACAACCCAATGCTATCCTCGAAAAATGAAGTTTGAACTTGCTCGGTGCAATCGCTACCTGTACACGCGACTGATGTGCAAGGGTGAAAGGGCCTTAAACACCGTACTACTGCTGTAAGTCCAAGCGGCCCACGCCTGGTGCAGCAGTGCGACTTCGAGAGGCTGTTCGATCACCGTACAGTAGTAGAAGCAACAGACGTGACGCACTGTTTTTTCGAACGAGAAAACAAGACGCGGTGAACAGACTCCCCTATTTGCTTGCACCAATAGACATTCATAATCGAGGAAATCAAGCCCCTCTCCGCCAATCTCAGCACTGTTGTTGCCATCCGAGCCGAGTTTAGCATTCGCATCGTTTCCCTGACGCTGGCTATTCTGGTTACCTTTTTGCGCCACAACGGTACTTCATGTGTGCGAACCGTTTGCCAATGCCACCGCTCACCGTCCGTCTCGCCGTGCCGTGTTGGTCGCTGAATGTGCTGCAACAGGCAATCGTCTCTCTTTGTTGACGGTTGGTTATGGAGATATTCTACATTATGACTTATTGGCGGCCGAAAGCATCTGCCCTAATAAGTGATTGTCTTACGTCCACCAGACAGAAGGAGGGGGTCCACCATTGCCGCGGCCCGTCGACTGTCCACGCTGGTTGCGGCAGCGTGTGTGGCGCTTGCCCTTCCCTGGCATCTGTGTTGACATACAGCCCCCTTTCGCTGACAAGGGCAATCATGGCTTGGTAGAAACCTACCTATACATGTGACGAGCGTCGTTTGCCGCCAACGGCATGAAAGATTCAGTTACTTTGTCAACTTCCCTCGAATGTAGGACCTCTACGTACGTGCAGAGTTTGCGTTGGGCGTCTGGTATTGGGCGCGGGCAGCTTGTGAGTGCCGTCCAACAAGGAGTGCTCACAACGACCCCGCGGCCAGGCAAGACTCCATGTACGAGTCTTGTCTCCTCTATCCGCATAGCCTACAGTACGGCGGTGGCGCGATTGTTGTACTTCTTCTGCTACAACGTGCGTAGACTAGTCTAGACTGCTGTAGTCTAGACTTCTAATATTTTGTCTGCTACATTTGACACGTCGTGGAACGAAGTACATAGAGAGCGCATCATTCTCCCAGAGCAGCGACAGCGGCTTTTTCGCATTCTATTATTGATCAGCATGGGAGGATATGTCGGAGAAGTCGAGGTGTCGCAGAGGTCGACTTAGAACGCTGCATCACGTTATTACCATGAAGATTCGCGAGGTCGTGGCTCATCCATGGTTCTGTGTCAATGGCACGTACCACAACTTTTCGTGGCTCGGTTTTCCTCGTCGCTTCCGTCCCTCCCGTTCCCTCTCTATTTCGTTGCCTGTGTAGCTCGGTTTATTGAAATAGAGAGTGTCTGCTCCATAGTGGGCCTTGACTGCTGTGGCTTTAGTGAATCGATCGGCTGTCACACCATCAACATGATGGATGTGGTCTGAATCCGAACTTTTGAATCATGGGACTCCGTGAAATCACATGGAAGGCATGTGCGGGTCGCGGTTTGTAGGGCCCCTGCATTCATGCGGCGAGATCTCGGACGGCAGCAGCAACCGATCACTCCCCCATGTTTGGCTCGTCGCGAAGTGCCCGCACCTGTGCCGGGGTGGGTGGACGACCATCCCAAGGAGAGAGGATAATGTTTTCT